CCAGTGGAATAGCTTGCCTTCATAAGTTGTGGGTGCTTCATCACTGGAGTTTTTTAAAAGACTGGATAACCATCTATCAGAAATGGTATAGGGTCTCCTGGTTGGGTAGAAGTTTGGACTAGATGACCTACAAAATCCTTCCAACTCTGTTATTCTATTCTGTTCTATTCTGTTCTATTCTATTCTATTCTATTCTATTCACATAAATGCACTCCAGATGCTTTCTATTTTTCCACCCCCAAACAGCCTCCAGCAATCTTCCATTTTCTGAAGCTTCCAGATAGTGGTCAGGGTTGGAATGAAAGATGCTTCTTGCAGGAGCCCATCTCAGTGGGCCATTCTCATAAAGGAAAAGGGATGCATCCAGGCCTCAGCCCCCTCTGTCCTCCCCAATATGGGAGACAAACAGCTGCTTCTCCTGACATCATCAAAGGGATTGAGCCAATTCTAGAGGACAGATAAATTCTTTAAGGTCACCCCTTGCAAAGGAAACAGGTTTCTTATGTTGAAAAGAGCACATTAAATTGCCCTTGGACAATAATCAGAAGTCATGGCATGTTCTGCAAAATTGGTGTAATATGCATATCAGAATTACCTGCAATTATTCACTGAGGAAAGAATTAAACTGTAAGGTCCCAGTCCTTACTTAAACTTGAGATACCATATCAATCTAATCAGATAACCCAAGTGGAAACTTCTTGATCAAGCAGCCCTCTATTTGATCAAATTAAGCAGCTGGGTGGCCAACAATCTGGAATGCTGGCAGAGTTACGTCCAGAAGTGCCACGCATTAGAAAGTTGGTAGCATTGCTTTATAAACTTTGTTAGCCAATGAAAATCAGACAACCGAGCCATTACATCATAAGAAAGACATCAGTCATTCCTGTACACTCCCTTATTCCCTCCTTCAGTATATCCCATCCATGTACATGTTTCCCACACTTGCATGAAATTTCTCTGGTGCAAAAGCCGATTACAAAAAGCAAGAAAGCAACAGTTAGACTAAACAATTTCCCTTTGTTCCAGAACCCTTCAAAACCATTCTAAATAGTCCCAACAAAATGCAGCTCCACAGCCTGTGCAGCTGGATACGATGGTTGATAACCACTTTGTGTATGCTATTGTTTCCCAATCCTTCCGATCCGCTTTTGATTCCCTTCCAATTCCCTTCCCTTCCTATCTCTTCCTGCCATGTCCCATCCTCAACACCGTGTAAGAATGGACCAATATACCTGCTTCGTCTGTTGCATGCAAATATCTTCATGTTTCTGTCATCCCCAACAATAGTTATGAATGAACAAAGAGGGCAGGCAGTGAACCAAGAGAGAGAAACTGTTTCAAACATATCAAGCTTGGCCTGCAATGAAAAAGGAAGCAAGACAGAGAATTTTATCTTAGAGCTAAAAAAAAGAAAGCATTATAGAAAATTTCTTGCGGAAGGATGGTCTCCAGGGACCTAGTGAGTGATATTTCGGAAGCAGCAGAGGAAACCATTGGCTGAAACCCCACTTTCATTTGTGTTAAGTGGAGAATGTCAGTTTGTTGGACACTGCTGCCTTCTTTTGCAAAGTCAGGTGCAGGGTCTGAAAAGACCTTCATTATATAAGTAAGAAAATAGGGCTTGGGACAATATTTCTGATGTCCAGGATTTCTCCAGAGTTTGCAGACTGAATAGAATGAACTCAGTAGCCCACCTCAAGATATTAATAAAAATAAAATAATACAATATATTAATTCACTGGTACTAATCTTCATATATGTTCATTTTGTGAACATTTAATATATCCATTTAACTGATAAAAATATAACATATACTCTGTGTATGTGTGTCTATGTGTGTCTATGAGTATATGTGTATGTGTGTCTGTACAAACACACACACACACACAAGTTTATTAAGAACCAGCAGATACTCATATTCTCAGATGTAATGTGTAGTTTAGCCATTATCAAACTCCTATCTATGAAACAGAATTCCATACAGTGACTGATCAGATTCTTTCCATTCCTGCCATCTTATTCCTATATGGTCCTCATTTGAAAACCAAAGCACATATGGACATACCAAGGAGGAATGGGAAGAGAAGAAATCACCAGCCTCTTAGGACTTATAATCAACCCAACTTACAGAGCATTGCATCTCTTACTCCTTGTCCAGGAGAATGATGTTGCAGCCAGACCTTGAAAATAGTGTGCAAATACAAGAAATGAAAAAAAAGAAAGAGAAAAGAAAGCAGACGCAAATAGGGTCTTATGTGCTGTTCTGAATACAAGCAGTAAATCTGAAGTCTAGTACAGGGCTTTTCAACCTTTTCACCCATTGTACCACTTTTAGGATATGGCAACATCTGAGTACCACCAGTCGCCTAGCAAGGTGTCAAAAACCTGATGACCAAAAAAAAAAAAAAAAAGGAAAAAAGTGATAAAGTACAGGTAGTCCTCGACTTACAACAGTTCACTTAGTGACTGTTAAAAGTTACAATGGCACTGAAAAAAGTGCCCCCCAAGCCATAGCCGAGCAAGACACCTGCCTGCCCGCCTGGCCACGCTCTTCATTCTGTCCGAGGTTTTCATTGTTGTGAGCATCTCTGTTGAGGATTGGCAGTGGGGGTGGGGTGGGGGGAGGTGTTTGGTTTTTATTCCCTCTGCCTGCTGGGTGGTTGCAGCAGGTTTTGGTCACTTCACATGACCCTGGGACACTGTGACCATCATAAATATGAATCAGTTGCCAAGCATCTGAATGTAAATCACAAGACCCTGGAGATGCTGCAACATTCCAGCTGATCGGCACTTCTTCTGGGTTCAGCAGAAGTGCCAGGATCAGTGCCGAGCTCCAGCTGGACCCAGGCACTGATTCTGGCACTTCTACTGAGCCCTGACAGCCCCGAAGAAGCGCTGATCCTGGCGCTTCCGCTGAGCCCTGACAGCCCTGCAGCTCCAGCCATCTCTTGTTCAGGCTTGTGCAGTGCTGCCACCGGTTCAGCTCATTCCCCTCCACCACTACCACTTTTCTAGGATGGTCGCGTACCACCTGCCAGGTGCCAATGTACCACTGGTGGTACCCGTACCACTGGTTGAAAAGCCCTGGTGTAGTGGACATCTAAATTTATTACAAAGCAGGAATTTGTACACAACCTGGTTTTGTTTTATCTCATTGTTCAGGTCCATCTGGAAGATACTCACAGGAGCTGCTACTAAGCAAAGAAGAAGAATGGCCAGATACATTGGGAAGTAAGGAAAGTTCATTTCCTTTAGAACAATGACCCCTTTGGCTCTGTGTTGTTCATTTGTGTGTTTGTGGTTATTTAAAGGAGAAACAGCTCAGTGACTTCATTTGCATCTGAGTTTCATGTGGAAGTTAAAACCAGTTTATAAGAAAGATGGCTTAAGTCCATCAACGAGACTCAGCCCACAAGTAGAATTTTGTATTTTCACATCTGAATCACCAATTAATTGTCCTGATTTAATTTAGACTAAATTATCTGAAGTAGGTGGCAATAAGTAATAAATAATCTCTTTATTTTTTTTCTATCTTGTGGTTCTTTGGTTTTTGAATTGGAAAATTCCAGCCCAGCTTTAATTAAACAAGCAGGTTGCTAATGTACAAACAAAAAAATGCCTTTCTACATTTAAATCTGAGCCAGATATAGCTCCCTAGTGAATTAAATAGTGTTTATATGAAATCTTCCTATGAACTTAATAGCTTGCCTTTCCTTGCTTTTTCATGTATAGTGATAAATGTAGAGTGGATGTAGAAATGGGTCCACACTCTAAAGACCTATGATACATAAAGAACAACTTCAACTTAGTATCTCAGCTATCTACCAAGTCTTCATTTCCTTCATCCTGGAGAAGAAAAGTCTATGTGAACCATAGCGCAGAAGACGAAATCCCTCAAATAATTAGTTGGTTATTAGTTGGTGGCTATAGAAGAGCTGCAGATTTTGTCCTGCCAGTTTTCCAATAACCAAGGCAGGATCAGAGAACTGGCACCAAAGGAGCTGTTCACCAATGCTTCTCTTTCAACTTCTCTGTTCCAGTTTAACAAGTTCTTTCAATTCCAAAAAGTACATGAGTTGAAATCATCTCAGAATATATTGGTAGTTTTCCCCAACTTCCTTTAAAGTCCAGTTTGCTGAGTAAGTTCATATACTGGCAAATGTGAGGTTATCTGACACACTTTCAACAGTCCAATTTAATGGAGAATGTTAAAAGGGAATGTTTGAGTGACCAGACATGACATGAACAATTATCTTTGTATATTGGCAATCCTCTATCATGTGTCCATAATTAGCTTCATAGCTTCATTGCTAAGAAGTTACTATGTGCATTGAATGTAACCAAGTTCATCATTTTTGAATTTGGTGTGGATATTAGTGTTGCAGTCTTTGTTGTCCCAACATAAGCTAATACAAAGGCCATCCCAGGGATTATTCAACCAAAATGAAATGTGAAAAAAAATAATATTGTAAAAGTTTTCTTCTGCAAAGGTCATCTGAGTCATTTCAGCTCATTCATCTGATTGCATCATCATTTAGTCAACTTCCATGTGTTTCTCTAAACATACATGAAGAAAAACAAGAAGAGTTTACTCCCTTTTCTGACACAAAGAGACTTGGTATTGCATGAGTAGTAATTATCCTTCTTACAATTATCTGAGGTTATTTGTTCTCCATATTGACTTCACTCAAGGGACTTCTAAAGAGCATCAAAAATGAAATCCACAAGCAATATTGCAAGGAACTATAAAACCTTTCTTTTGCCCAATTCCAAGCTGGGAGAGGACAAAGAAGGCAGAATTCTATCCAGTTGAACACTGTAGATTTCCCCAAACACTTAGGCAATTATTGCCTTAAAACTGCATTGCTTGAAGCCTGAAGAATACTTTCAGAGACATACTATCCTTAATTACAGTTCCTTTTCTTATGCAACAGTTATGGAGTCGGTTGTCAGATGATGTAGCTTGCTGATGTTTGCAAAGATCAGTTCTCAACCTACAGATGGCCTGGAAATTGCCTCCATCTAGAGTGATTTGGAGTCAGATGTTCTTGTTAACAATACTTGTACTCCTTCTGTCTTACGGGAGAGCTAAAGCAGACCCCAAAAAGTGCTCTAGCAAAGAGTTGTTTCTTGTTCCACATGAGTGGTACCAGTCTGGCAAGTTCCTGATTGGTGGGATAGTTTCTCATATCTTAAATGTATATTTCCAATACACCTTTGATGAAACTCCTTCTAAGAAACTGAGTGATGAGCTTCCACTGTAAGTATTTCTCGCTTGCTTCCTGATCTTCTTCTCTGCCAATAAGGGCTACACTCTCTGAGCTGCGAAAGATCTGGTCAGCCATTCAGTGGCATAAAAGATCAGAGGACCATCCTAACTTATTTCTACCACCTAGTAGCTATTTTGCACCTTAGAACTAGTAGGACGTATTTGCTCTTTAACTTTCAAGTTAAAGAAGACACTTAAGGAAAATCATTAAGGTAGGAATAAATTATGGTAAAGTGGACTGCCTTTTTTAGATGATTTATTGTTATATATTTTTTATTATGGGCACAATGGCACACATTAAAAATGAAATTTAGTTGCTTGCTTTCAAATTGTACACATACATAACACACATTTAAACATACTATATACATATACCATATGTATAGACCTACACCCTTACATATAAGTAACATGTAAATATTATTAATTGTCCATCTTGAATACATAATGGAAGGAGGAAGCTTTAGAGTTCACAAGGTTAATACTATATGGGACAAAACTCTGGCTGAATCTGGATGTTCTGCTTCGGATACCACGAAGCCCCCTCCTCCCAGAAGGTAACAAGGAAAACAGGTCGTGAAGAGGATGTGTCATGTCTCAGATAATCTTACGAACCCTGCTCAAGCAGCGCTTCTGTGCTATGTCCTGGATGGAAGAGAGGGAACTGCCAATGATCTTTTCAGCCATCCTCACCACTCTCTGCACTGCCTTCCTGTCTGAAGCAGTGAAGATTCCAAACCAGATGAATAGCCTGTATGACAGGATGCTCTTCATTATTCCTCTGTAGAAAAGATAGGGGAAGGAAGATGAGCTTTTCTCATGCGATGCAGAAAAGATAGGGGATTATATCAGTTGCATCCAGTAATTAGACAGCTAGAAACTAACATCTGCTAAGCCCTACTTTATCAGCTTCGAATTCCATACTTGGAGTAGCCCTAATCAGTTTCATGATTATTTTTTTTTCCTAAACCTTTAGAATTGTCTTCTATTCAGCTCCCTGATTTTGCTAATGAAGGAGCTGATAAAGGTTGGTGGGAAGATTTTCAATTAATTGTGTCTTATTTAAATCTGAACCATGCAGAAAGGTGGCAACAGGAGAGTGTGCATTGTAAATTAAATTCACTAAAGATGTATATATATATTTTCTTGCAGTATGTTGCCAAAGTTCTACCAACACCTCCTGGCTCTAGCTTTTGCTGTGAATAAGATCAACCAGGATCCAATGATCTTGCCGAATCTCACCCTTGGCTTCCATATCTATGACAGTCATTTTGATTCAAGGATGACCTATCGGATCACCTTGGACTTACTTTTCAAGTCACAGACATTTCTCCCCAATTACAAATGTGATTCTCACAGAAGACTAATAGCACTCATTGGGGGAATCAGCCCTGACATCTCCTCCTATGTGGCAGACATTTTAAGTCTGTACAAGATTCCGCAGGTAAGATCTGTGCACCTCAACAGAGCAGCCCTATCATTTTGGTACAGTAGTCGGTTTTGTTTTTCTGAAAGTGAGTCTCACATTCCCAAAAGAGTGGAAGTGAATGCAGAAATGGGGAAAGCTTCCAGAGATTGGAAGAGAGATGCAAGCATATGGTAGAAACTAGGATATCTTGCCAATAACAGAATAAAAAAGTTGGAAGGATCTGTCTGTCTGTCTGTCTGTCTGTCTGTCTGTCTGTCTATCTGTCTGTCATCTATCTATCATCTAGCTATCTATCATCTATCTACCTATATCATCTAAGGAAAGGTTTTCTCAATGCATTTATACACATTATTTTTAAGGCCAGGAATTATCATTGAATGAAGGAAAATGGTTATTTTTGATATTTGTTAAGCTTAAGTTTCCTTAAAGGTTTAATAGCAAAGCAGTAAGAATGCATATTAACAGAAAAACAGAGTTGGAGGTCTTCTAGTCCAACCTTATACCATTTCAGACAAATGATTTTCCAGTCTCTTCTTAAAAACCTCCAGTGTTGGAGCACCCACAACTTCTGGAGGCAAGCCGTTCCACTGGTTACAGTAATTGTTTTCATTGTCAGGAAATTACTCCTTAGTTCTAAGTTGGTTCTCTCCTTGATTCCCTCCATTGCTTCTTGTCCTGCCTTCAGATGCTTTGGAGACTAGGTTGACCCCCTCTTCATTGTGGCAGCCCCTTTAGATATTCAAAGATTGATATCAATGTTATCAATGCTACCAATGTTTCTCTAATGCCTGTTTTCAATAGCTGTATCATTATTTCCAAGGTTTTGGCACAAGAGTCCATGATTTGGACTCTCCCAGATTCCACCATCATCAGAATTCTAATCATGGTCTTATCATATTCTTCAGAAGCATTTTGGTTTTTTCCTTATTTATCCTTAGGCCTGCCATTTCACCATATTCCCCCAGTACTTCCATTAGCCTGATTGTAAAGGTTCTTCGAGTATGAAAACAAGATCATCAGCAAAAGCTTGCAATTTAAAAATTTCTCTCTTAATCTCTAAACCTTTAATATACTCATCCTTCCGAATTATTCTATTTAATACCTCCAGGGATAATATAAACAGTAGTGGAGATAGTGGGCAACCTTGCCTTGTGCCTTTTTGAATTTGGAAGTTTTTAGTAGTTTCTCCGTTAATTATCACTTTAGCTACCTGTT